GAGTGAATTTGAATATAAGAACGCCGGATATGGCGAATAGGCGTGATACTCCGTTCAACCCCTCCGGTCACACTGCAGCTATAAACAGACCAGTAGACATGAAGACCAATTGGCAGCAAGTTCCAGAAGGAACAGCGATGCTGACCCGGGACGTATCTGACCAGAAATAGTGACCAAATTCAGTAGTCAAGTAGTGTGACTATGACGTTACTCTGTCAATTCCCCCTATGAGGCTATGAGCCTATGACGATTCTGGACATCCTCAAACCTGTAGGAACTTCCCCAAGGCGGCCGGCAGTACGATGCGTTCCTTTTTTTTTTTTTCTTGTGTTCCCGGACGCGCTGGGTTTCGATCAAGAATGCAAAACAGAAACGGAGACGAACCCATCCTAGAGGATGCATTGTGAAGCTACTGCAAAAGGGGAGGGCCAGGAGGAGGAGAAGAGGAGGTGTTTGTCGATGCCATGCCACCGTCATTGTCAGTTTACCACCTCCTCCTCCACCTCCTCCTCCCCGTCTTCCTTTCCTCCTCCTCCCCGTCCTCCTTACCGTCGCCTCCCCCTCCTCCCCCTCCTCCCCCTCCTCCAACCCGTTCCTCAATACCCATTTCACTGATGTCTTCCCAGCGTCCACATGTCATCCAGGCTGTTGTACGAGCGGCCAGAGAACGAGCAGGCGAAGGACGACGAAGAGAGAAGAGGAGGATCTCCCTCTCCTCCTCTCCTCCTCTCCTCCCCTCCTCCCCTCCTCCCGGTATCCATTGATTGACTGACGCGGAGAAGAGGCCAACGTGGAGAAACTTCACCGACGCGGACGATGATACTTCGATGAGACTTCGGTGACTTGTCCTCTTCGGCGACATGTCGTCGCCTTTCTTTCTGATCCTTCATCTTGTTCATCCGTCCATTTTGATCCTGATGATGATACAGTCGAGTCCGCGCCACACGATGCTGTCCTGGTACGTAACCTGAGTGATATCGATTTTGACGCACTCCCCGTAAATCGGATCGTCCGGGTTTCTCCTACAGACCTGGTCMCTGTAGGTATAGAAAATTCTATTACACTTTTCACAATCATTGCAGTTCCAGGGACCATCCGTGCAATTGCCAAAGGCGCACCTCTCCGAGTTCACGTACATCGTCGCCTTCTCCACCCTGTAACGCAAATATAAAAAGCATACATGTGGGGAGAAAAAAGCAAAAACAAAAGGGAAACATTTTAATAAACAGTCGCACGTTGGGATCCCAATTCCAGGCCAGCAAGTTCCAACTCCCAGCCAATCTGGTCACAGGAGACAGATACGAAAAACAATGAATAGATTAATAAATAAAAATAATGAAAAAAAGAAAGTAAATAATTAAATAAATAGACAAATAAAAGTGCAGTAGGGATCTAAGCAGGATAGTGAGGATTGTGACCCCTCAGCAACTCGTGGAGGAATCCTTATTTTTCTTTCTTGAGAGCAAAGAGATATTTCGAGCCCGTGCAGAAATCTTTTTTTCTTTTATTTTCATTCTCAGTGCAGAAATCATCGACTTCGCGAGATCAGCATTCTTGGGCATGACATTGTTTCAGCCATATCTTCATCGAGATCCCGGGGCCAAGTCCCACTTCCCACTTTCCCGGATTCTCTCATTCTGACCGTAGATTTCGAAGAAGATCATGGCCAGGAACGAAGATTCGAAGAAGGATCAGCGTAAGTGCCACTTAGTCTCACAAAGCGCCCAAAGGGCTCTAGCCCTTCAGACTGCACGCACGGCTGCGTGCGTGTGTGAGAAGCCAAGCGGCGAACGCCGGGGGGCWAGTCCCACTTACCCGAATGATCGATTTCTGACCGCAGATTCGGAAGATCAACGACCRGAAATCAAGGATCAGCGTAAGGGGGACTTGGCCCCGGTGCCACCTTCACCTGGGCTCGCATGTGACCGTTTCAAGACGAAGGGTACATAGATAGAGTAAGCATGTCATATGAGAAGAGGGAAGAACGGCTAGGCAATCACAAATTGGAMRAAGTGTCTGAATCTGGACGTGTTYCACGGAGAGGTGTGCAGTAAAGTAGATCAATCACAAATTCTCGCACCTGTTTTTTCTAGCTGTCGTAACACGAGTTCCGTCATCATCCATCAACGACCCAATCAGCGATGCAAGTCCGAACGATCCAATCAATCAACGATCCAATCAATCAACGATGCAATCAATCACTGATACAATCAATCAACGATGCAATCAATCAACGATGCAATCAATCAACGAGGAAATCAAGGATGCCAGACTGTCTGATCCAATGAATGCAGCAAATCTGAACGATCCAATCAACGATGCACGTCTGAGCGATCCAATCAACGATGCAGGTGTAAATCCAATCAATGATGCAATCAACGATGCAAGTCGAGGAATTTTAAGATCAGTGCACGGAACTGGACCGACCAATATCTGGCATTAACATGCAAACAGATGACAATTTCCAAAGATAGGGGAGAGGGAAGAGGGGAGAGGGGAGAGGGGAGAGTATACACACGTGCATGCCACGGCACGTCAACTGCAAATCAGTAAAATCACACGAGAGGCGAGCGCTCGAACACCAGATAGCAAACGTCAATAAATACAACAGGAAACACGAGGGTAACCCAATGCGAATATCGTCATGAAGTGAACTGACGACGTCACGATCATTACGAAATCGACATTCTGCTGTCAGTTTCTGGATGCTGGGGGCTACCAATTATCGAATCGAATCGGATGCAATCAACGATGCAAGTTCGAATTAATCTACCAATCGAATTAATCTACCAACCCCCCTGAGCCTTGTCGTGGAAAAACGATAATAGGATTAATCATACGTCCCTCCCATGTGTTTTCACCCTCGTTCGACTTCAAGTCTCTGTACGAAATTGTTACTTTCTTGGGGAGGGGTGGTCGGGGGAGGAGCAGATGGGAGAGAGAGATGGGAGAGAGAGAGGGGAGAGAGAGAAGGGAGAGGACAGGAYGGCCACACGCRTCTCCGAGCACTAGGCTAGACGTTTTCTTTCCTTTTGTTTTGTTTTCTGTTATTTTTTTGGGGGGTTCGACATTTTGGAAAAAGATCTGCCAATTCCCCTCCCC